ATATCAACCTAAGTCAAAGTGAACTCTTGAGAATTTTTATCCTAAAAAAAGAACCGTATCAAGTGGTTCAGTTATCCATGCTTCTACTGGCAATGTTATTGCAAGCAGAAAGGCAGTTTTATTTAGGGAGTGAAGACAGGGACATGCTGTCAGTGGTTTAATAGCTCTCCCATTTAAAAAAAGATAGAAGACTTACTGTGGAATTGAATCCCTGACAAAAAGATCAATTAAACTAATTAAAGTTCAATTAAATCTGTCAAAATGCAGAAAAAAGAAAAAGCTTTTACTCTGAGGATGCAGAGCAGCAGCTAAAGGAACCTGGATGGAGCTGACGGACATCAGAGCCCCTTGGCACCATCAAGTAGTCTGGACTAGCTGACAACACGTTCACCTTCTGTAGCACCATCTGCCACAGGCTTCGGTCACTTTGCCAAATAATTCTTCCCAGAACACAAGATTTCTGCTGCTAATGAGGGCACATCTAGCAGAAGAACACGAACCCCAGTCAAACTCTGAGAGCATCCCAATTACACTGAAAAAAGATCCAATCACAGATTTTTGGACTGAGAAGCACGTAAGATCTTGACAACAAATCTGCCTTGTCATGCAGAAGGAAGCTGTTCAGAGTTCTGAAAGGCAGGACACTAACAGACCTCCATGTGCCAACTTTAGAAATTCGGGAGGAGGAGAGGGAAAGAATCTAAGTGACTTGCACCATTCTAGCTACGGGTGCAGATGACTGTAACGGTGTTTATCCATAATTAATTGGATGCATTTTCTTTTAACATACAGTAAAAGGGAAGATGAGCACAACAGACCAGTCTGAGCTTCAGCATATGAACATACACTTTCACAGAGCACAAACCCCGAGATTTCAAACTGGAGCGAAGGGACTCATCTTCAAGCACGGTGCTGCACGCGGAAGTAGATGGCATCCCTTTGCAAATGCTCTCTGGCACGTGCGACTAACAGAAGGTGACAAAATACTGTCACATGTATTGAATAACAGCTGGAAAGATGAGGTTGTTCAAGCTGTTCGCAAACCTGGTGTGCAAAGTCTGGTAATATCGAGCCTCGTAGTACAGCTGCCACACGACCCAGCAGCTCCAGGCAGGACCTGCCCGGGATGCAACAAGATTTGCCAGGATATTACTAGTTTCCTTGGGATACAAAACCTGACAGCTCATTCTCTAGGAAGCCCTAAATCAGATGGGCTAGTGTCTTTATCAGGGAGGAAAAAAGTGCTTCACAACTTCCAGATCCTCAGCTAGCTGAAGCCCTAATTGCTACAAAGTCTCCATCAGTCCTTTCCCTCAAAGAGGATCTTCAAACAAAAAGCCATGGTTGGGAAATAAAGAAATCTGTAGCAAGGAGCATCTTCTAATAACAATTCCAGCTGAATTAGCACAGCAGCAGCCTACAGCTATGAAAGACTGATTTTTTCCAAACGCCTGTTGGAGACCAGAGAGATATCAGATGGAGAAACTTAACAGACATCTGAAAAGAGTGACGTATAACTGGAATCCAAAACCGTATCACAGCTGCAAACAATTTTCTTTGCAAAAGAAGTCAATATACACATGGATTTCAGTTGCAAATGAAAGCTTTTGCTTGACTAACAGCAAAAGAAAAGAAGTGCCAAAGAAGAAGATAGGGTAGGCAAAGAAACAAATTCCTCCTATATCAAAAGCTCTGATTCTTATGAAATAATATAAAACAAATAAGAAAGCAAAAACAAAACACAAAAGCAACCCTCACATACCATTAATCAGTAATCATGGGCAGAAGAGCAGTGCTAATGTCAATGAGATGGCACTTTAGCTCAGAATATTCCTCTGCAGAAAACTCAAAAGTCAAGGCAGTGTATTTAAAACATCCAGAATTGCCTCATTATCATACTACAGCTGTAAATGAGATTGTGTTTTTGTGAGGACAGAATATTATTCTAGGAACAGCAGTAAGGATGACGTATTCACAAAAACATCCAGCTCCTACTTCCAAGAATGGACTTGAAATTTAACTACATACACAGTAGTCAAATGTTAATTTACAGTAAGTGACTGTCCCTCACGCACAGCTGACTCACGAGTACCCCAAGGCACCATGACCGAGTGATGCTCAGGGCACGTCACTCCTTCCTTGCAGCAGAATATGCAATATCAGTCACTCAGTCAAACTCACAGCAACAAGGGACTTTCCTTTTGGTAAAGTCCTCAGGATATCATCATAGGCAAGGTGACACTGGAACAAAGGGTGACAGTAAGATATGATCTTCTTTGACCCACACTTAGGACACAGGGCACAGCTACCCAGTATTTTCTCTCATATCTCTGGGGATACTCCTGCAATGAGGCTACTCCGAAAAGGAACAGGTATGTTTTTAGTTCTCTCTGGCCTCAATTATATATCCTTTCTGAATGTTTTTAACTGCAACGGTAAAGACAGCACCAGTGTCCACCAAAAGATAAGATGCTTCTATCAAAGGAGATAAAATTAACAAAATAAGTCTGAAAATGAGACACTTCGTCGCTGCTAGAGATTAGTCTAAGCAGGGAAATTGACTAAAGTTGAGCAGTTGACCACAGCATCTCAGGATCAAGGCCAGTGGAAAAAAAAAAAGCAGACCTTCAAAGATACCAGAGGGCCTTAATAATACTTATTTTTTTTAAAAAAAAGATGGTGCAATTGTAAAAGCATCAAACATGGGAGTCCCTTGCATCAGTCACGTGGTTTTATAATTATATTAAGCCCCTCTTTCTGCTGCAGTTCTTGAGCAGGCCACCACCGATGATAAAACACTATCCCAATGGCACTGCTTGCAGTATGATTGTACAGGCTCAGCCAATCTCTGAAGCAATTCTGAAGACTGTTTCTCTGTTATACTAAATAATCACTTAGCAAATGCGTAACAGGAAAACCACGAGCAACATATGCAACAACAGTTCTTCAATCAGTTTCTCATACTACTCCTTGACCACTCGTATCAAGTAATGAGTATAGAAAACACATCCCACAATGCCAATAAACACTTTCTGAACAGCTGGCTAGAAAGAAAACACCACTTATGTGATTTGCAGGTGTAGAACAATCCAATGAAGCCCCTTTCATTAAACAGTGTCAACTACACCAGAAAGCACAGCATCAGTTTCAGAACAAATAATAAATGGCAAGCCATTAACCAATTAATAGGTTTCAGTGCACCTGTCCATTTCTTTGTTGTCCAGCTTCGGATTTGACAGGAAGAAGAAAAATCCGCGGTTCCTACCCTCCCGCCCACCTCCAGCAACATACAGAGGGCCGGTTTCTGCATGTCGCTGAAGATGGTCTCGAGATCACACAGTAAGACCAAAATTGCATTGGTGCGTTAGTGGAGCCATGATGAAGGACACTGACCTAGACCCCGCCATTTGGTTAGCGTCTACTTTAAAGCAGTGCCTGCAATCCTCTTCCCTGACTTGTCTAACGCTAGTGAAAGTTTGGCAAGCCGTCACTCCTTGGCTAACAACAGCTCCAGGCTTTGGATGGCTGCGGAGCACAGGGGAGAAAAGCTATCGCACAGTGAGCAAACACAGAAGCCAACAAGCTTTCAGGATGCCATCTGATGCTGACAAAGAAGTAGCTATTCTTGCATTAGCTAGAGAGGACATCACCTGCAGAGGGAGTGTGTGCTCTGTCACGTATGCACGTGTTTTTAAGGCGTTAAAGCAGTGCATTAATCCTTGTTACTCCCAAGTTATCTGTGACCATTCATACATTACGAAAGTTCTCATGTCATTAAACAGACTAGTCCTCTTTAGGCTGGAAGAGACTCTTCTGTAAAACAAGCGAGATGATCAACAGGTCGCAGCTAAGCATATAAAAAATTCATTCAAACCAGAGCTTTAAAAAATAATCCAAAGTAATTTTCTACAGAATGAAATTAACTTGTGAAGCTCGTTGACGCAGGATGTTATAGAGGGCAATATAAGAATCAAAAGGAAATCACATAAGATCATGGAAGATGGGCCCGGCATATCTATTAGACAGAAACAACCTTTGTCTCAGCAAGAAACCAAACAGCAAAATACCAGAACTAAGGACAACCACTGGTGAAAGATCATCCATACGTCCATTCATTTCGCATGCTATTTCCCTATGCTTGGGCAACCTCAAGACAATGAGCATCACAAGAAACAGGACACTGGACAAATAGGAGAGTCTCAGGAAGCCTTCTGTCACCTGGCCTTGGGTCTCTAAAAATGCTGAAACAATTTATGTTAAAATTAATTCATTCGAGATTATTATACTTCCATTTTCTGAGCAAAACCAAACATCTACATGATAGAAACACAACAGCACATGCTGGGTTAGAAAATGAGGAACAATTACAAGTTCATCTACCCTGATTCCTCCCTCGTTGTTAGTTAAGGTATTTCAACTCGCTCCATTTGCAATGGCTTGTTTGCACAGAGCATTCAGCTTCCACTAATGAAAAACTGATTTTAAAAATCAGTCCGAGCCCACTCAACATGAGACAAGGCAAAATAAAAGTCAAATAATGTTTCTGGTGCTGAAAGACAGTATTTTCTAGGAATAAAACATGTATCATCACATGTCAACACCTCTAAGTAGTTGTTTTTTTTTAAATCCATTACCTACGTTCTTTCTTACTTAAACTACTGTAACATATACATCTCTGCAAATACTGAACTAGTACTGCCATCACTATTTTTGTTGGTTTTAAGCAAAGAAAAAGTCACATTTATTTTGTAGTAGCAATAGTTTCTTTTTTATTTTTTAATATACTTTAGGAAACAATATACAAAGCCGAGCTTTGCCACCATTTTCAAACGGTGGGTTGCTCCAATTACACAAATTCAGCGTTTTGTGATGGTTAAGAACAGCAGTCAGCACCAGACTTAAACAGTTAGCTACAACACAAACATCCTTTGAAATGAAATGTCATAATATCAAGACAGGTAAACCAGGAGTTAACATATGACAACTGTTGGGGAGGTGTCTTAAATCATTCTTGTTGAATTTTATATTTCATTAAATATTTTATACACATTTTCCTGTTTACAAGTTTTAAACAAAACCTCCCTTGAGGAATTATTTAAGTACAAAAGTGTTCAACAAGAACAGTTCTAATAAAGAGTCCCCAAACAGACCAAATTTTAATATGTGTTGACCAAAGGAAATGAAAACCAGTGTTTCTTTGTTTTAACATGTTTATTACAACAGATACAATTCACATCTGACTAGCTTTTTTTTTTTTCCTCTTTCCCCTCCCACAACCATGTTAACATGTTCATTGGGCTATTTCCTTATATTTGAGCAAGTAATGTACTTTCAGCACACATGCCCAGCAGTACTATAAGTCCATTCTTACAGGGTGCAAATGGAAATACGTTTCAATAATTTATACAAACAAGTGGGTTATGCTCAATCACTGCAATTTTAAGCTACTGTACACAGGAATGAAAAGATTATAGAAAAAGTGCCATAGCAACAGTGCCTTAAGAAAAGAGAAAATTAGAAGCATTAAAAAACTGATAAAATCAGATTTAGGATTTCACGGGGAAATGGAACACAGAAAATGAAAAACATTTCTCTGTAAAACAGAAATGGAGAAGCACTGCTCTCGATTCGGTGCAAGTGTGGAAACAGTTGTTTCATGGTATTTTGTACATTACCCAAATTGTTGCAGCCTTAGACACAGATCGCCTGGCGCTTGCATTGAATTTTAGGAAATGCAAGATTTCTGAATGATAAATTAACTAAAAAAAAAAGAAAAAAAAAGAAAAAAAAAGAAAGCTAATTTTGCAGACAGGTTTACATGTAAAAGGCTAGGTATTTAGCCACCTCAGCATTGATTAGTTTTGGATGTCTAAGCTCTGATACACATGGCTTCCCATGGCTTCACTCTACAAAACATATTTACAACGTGAAGAATACATCTACAAGAAATCTACATTTCAAGGGTTTTACAAATCATTCTTGTATCTTTCCCCTGAATTTGACTCCCTCCTGTCCCCTTCCCCATGTCAACTTTTTTTCTGCCCAGCTCAACGGTCCAAAGTCTACTCAAATGCAGCTCAAAAGTGTTAAGACTGGGCATCAGTTTAATAGTTCCTGTACTCAAAACCATGTGCAATTGTTTACAACTTTTCACACCATGAAGGAATTCTGATTCTTTAGCTTTTCAAGTTCTTTAATTTGTTGCCTCAAAAATAGTATCCTGCAAGAGAAAGGAAATAAATTAGTACAAACATTTTCATTACATACAGATATTAAATAAGTATCTACACAAGCACTTCCACAATTTCAGTGAAAGATACATAGCTCCTTAGCTCTACTAATAACATTCAGATATTTTCAAATTAATTTGCAATCTGTTCAATCACCTACAAACACCATATGCAGATGCACAGAGACCTGCTATGTTTTATACCTTAGTTAGGAAAATTTAATTGCTGTATTTCATTATGACTGATATACTGTTATGTTTAAACTGGCTCGTCACTTGAATTCAACTCCCAGAAAAAGCAGGACACTGGAAGAGTATGTTGAGCAACTGAATATTCTGAAGAATAGTCCTGTGCCTGCATCATGCAGTTTTCCAGACTGTACAACAACCCAAAGCGCTCAAATTTTTTTAAACAAATAAGTTTTCTTCTAGGTGCTGTCAGTTATGGTTAAAGTAATACACTTGCTTTGCCTAAAGTTCCCTCTTAGAACAAATTTAAATAGTTCTCTTCTGTGCAAAAGTACAGAAATAATACATTATTCAAATGTACTGGCTTTGATAGTCCCATCCTTTGCAAAAGCCTCCCCCCACCCACTTGTTACTTATGCCACATATTTCACATCTTTGAGATTGCAGTAAAAATAAAAGATACATGTTATCATAGATTCAAAGTCACAATAATCATTATTCAGTGACAACTTAAGGACACACAGTGTACAAGAAACAAGGTGCTATTTAGTGAGCTGAACAAATCACATTTGATATGTTATTTCAGATCAAATGTGCACCCAGGGACAGAAATAAAACTTAGGGAATGAAACCTGTAAGAAACCAAGCAGTTCATTAAATATTCCACAGAAATTGTGATTTATGTAATGAAGTTATGAAATAAAATTTCAGAAAGAATGGATATTTTAGATTCTTTATTAGGAAAGATGTCCAAATATATTATAGACTACCTCTGGTTTGGAACTAGATGATCTTTGAGGTCCCTTCCAATCCTAACCATTCTATGATTCTGACTAAAGGTTTGTTTTACTAACTGCCAAAAAGCAAAGGCTTCTAGGATAAAGTTAGCTATTTGAACAGCATGTAACACTAAGAGCAGCTTAAAAATTGTAAATGAGAATCACTGTATTCGAACTGTAGTGTGACTTAACAGTTGATGGGACAACACGATTCAAAAAATAAACTGAATATGAAAGTAGGTTCAGGATCATGACTGCTGGTGAAAAGTTTCAGCATGTATTGTAAGACTAAACTTTTCAATCTTGCACAACAGTCTTCAACAACGTGGCTGTGTGTCGCTTCAGTGATACATAAGACACTCGCTATTACTGACTTAAGAAGTCTACTTTGCTATAATCAACATCTCACTAAAGAACCCCAAGATCTTCGACACCTCCTTCCTAAGTAAAAACCTTATTTTTAACTTAGCTTGTGATACCAGTGACACCTGCTCAAACCTGCTCTGGCTTTATACCTAACGAACGTCTCTCACAAACTGTAGTGTTTCAGGCCGCGCAAACGTGTACCTATGTGATTCCACGCATCGCGTATGAACAGATACTTTTAGATGTATGCTGAACTAGTGTAAGTTAATCAGTTTTTCCCAATGCACGCATGTATCTGGAAAGAGACTTCTTTTCTCTCTAGGTGAAGATACATACAGAAGCTGCATATCTTGTTCTAATCATTGGAGACTATGAGGCATCTGTGCGGCAAACAGGTAGAGTGTGCACAGAGAAGACAGCTTGCAAACCTGACAGATATTACAAAGTCATCGGTAAATATAGGTCATGCAAAACCATGCCAGAATGGGAATTTTAATACCACCTTGAAAACTACCATTTTGAAAATAAACACAGAGCACATACTTACCTTTGCTCACGCAAAGTTGCTTGAATTTCACATACTCGAACTAAAGACCTTAAATTCTTTAATTCAGTACAAATTTCTGACATATGGACACTTCCCATGTTATGGGCTTCCTCACGTAATCTTGATGCCTGCAACGGTTACACAAAAAGGTCAGGATTTTGAATCATGTATTGGAAACAACTGGCTGTAGCCAGGGGATCACTGGATGAGCGTGTCTTGAAACAGTAAAGCACTCTAACTTCAAAAGGGAACATTAAATCAGAAGTACGTTACATTCTCTACAAAAGTCCATTTAGAAACAGAAATGAGCAACACTGGCTGCCAAGAGATAATCTAAACCCAGGCCCATGCTAAGGCAGGGATGGTTGAGATTTCCTTGATCCTAACAAATGCTTACCCAACCATCTTGAAAGACAGTGCATGACAGGGCTTCAAGTTTCCAAAGTTGTTCAAGTAGTTAAAAAGTCTCTGTCCACTAGTTCAATAGTAGACTTAGACTTCCCATCTAAATTAAGCCTTAAATGACAAAAATAATTGAATATCATCTTCTTTCCAGCTACCTTATACAGGTAAAAAAAGCTCTGCCATCCTTTTCAGATGTTCTCTTCCAGACAAACTCCGTTATTTTAATTTCCTTACTTAGTCAGTTGGTTTAGAAAGCACGACCTATCCTCAGTCTGTGCACTTCTTGAAGCCTTGTCACTGAATTGGATATATATATTATATTGGATATATATATTAAGGGCAACAAGAAAAACTTCTATAGGTATGTCAGTGATAAAAAGAGAGGTAGGGAAACCGTAGGCCCTCTCCGGAAGGAAACGGGGGACCTGGCTACCCGGGATATGGAGAAGGCTGAGGTTCTCAATGATTTCTTTGCCTCATTCTTCACTGGCAAGAGCTCCAGCGGCACAGTCCAAGCCACAGAAGGCAAAGGCACGGACTGTGAGAATGTAGAACCGCCCACTGTAGGAGAAGATCAGGTTCAAGATCATCTGAAGAACCTGAAGGTGGACAAGTCCATGGGACCTGATGAGGTCCATCCGCGGGTCCTGAGGGAACTGGCAGATGAAGTTGCTAAGCCACTAGCCATCATATTTCAGAAGTCGTGGCAATCTGATGAAGTTCCCACTGACTGGAAAAGGGGAAAAATAGCCCCCATCTTTAAAAAGGGTAAAAAAGAAGACCCAGGGAACTACAGG